GCAATTTCACAAAACCAAATATTTTAGGCAATAATTTTAGATATGGGTAGGTATCTTTATCAGAAGGATTTTTTAGCTGACTTTATCAGCTGTTTGACTTGTCTTCTTACCTGGACCGATTTGTTTTTCATTGGAGTTGATTTTTAAATTTCTCTTTAAGGCAGAAATTCAGAAAGAAGATAATAAGGTTGCTTGATCATTATATCATTTTTTTTTTCTGTAGATCAAACACAAAATACTGTGGCTCAGCACAAAAAGCCAAATAAAGGAGATGATTTGAGCTTGCCCACACTAATACCTAAATAAAAGCCTAATAAAGCTAACAGGAGTTCTGCCTTGAATTATTATGACTATCACAGTGTGGTGATTGGAAAGTATTTCAGATTAAAATCAGTGCAGAAGACAAAGAGATATTCCTCATATTTTCTGGCCTTACAGTATTATTCCAAAAGCAAGAGCTGTGTGCTCCCTAGGTTCTGGTCAGGTATTTCAAGTGGTTTGTTGAAGGGCAACGACTTTGTTGTCAAAGGTTGTTAAATACCTTCTCTGTAAGCCACTGGAGGAGAATAACCATAGTGCTACAGCAGGCAAGAGGGAAGAAATTATTACTCTTGGGTCCTTTCCACTATATAATGTGTTTGTTCATGACAGCACTCATAAAATAACTCCAATTAATAATGATTAGGTCTAACTGTAATCTTTTCAAAATAGATAAATGGCACAGTTTCTACTAGTGAATGCTTTTTGTGTCTCTGGAGGAATAGGAATTGCAGTGTGGGTTACTGTTGGGAGTTCTTACATTGGATGAATAATCTTTGTAATTGCTGCCTTTGGGTTTGTCGTGCCTGAATCCTGCCTGATGCATGTGTGTGTGTAAATCTAGATAGGATTGAAGTGAATACACGAATATTTATATTTTTTTTAGTGAATCACCTCTTAAACTTTGTGAATAGCTTCTCAAATTTTCATCAAGACATCCTTTCCCTTTCCTAGTGAAAAGCTGAGTTGCAGGCAGAATGCAGTAGCAAAGACTGGTCCATGCTGGACTTGCCCCTGTGCTGTTGTGCACCCTGTATTCTGGATTGCCCGTCTGTCTTGTCTTCATAACAGATTCTTCTTCTTTCCCCATGCTTATTTGGGATTTTCACCCAGCAGGCTTATTGGCATGACACTGTATCTAAACTGACCGAAGAAGCCAATATAAGCACTTGCCAAAAGGCAGTTTTGATCTTCCCTGGCTGCCTCAGTCTTTTTTTCGGATGCAATCAGGGGCATGTGATCCTGATTCAGAGGATTCATCCCATCTCATGTCTATGATTCAGACATTTCAGAGGAAAGAAAAAAAAGAATGCTATCCTTGAAGAAGGTAACTCCGTGTCAGACTAGAGTTTAGCTAGTAAGGAATTTGCCTCACCAGGCTGAGAAAAAAACATAATAATTAATAAAACAAAGATTGTGCGCAGAAGCAAAGGAGAACAAAAGACTTTATTCTCTACTTCCCATCAGCAGGCAATGGCTGGCCACTTCCTGGGAAGCAGGGCCTCAGGTAGGCATAGTGGTTGCTCCAGAAGATAAACATCATGAATAACAAATGCCCCCCCTTCCTTCTCCTTTCTCTTAGCTTTTGTTGCTGAGCAGATGTCATATGGTCTGCAATATCCCTTTGGTCATTTTGGGGTATCTGTCCTGGCTGTGTCCCCATCACAGATCTTGCTCACCCTCAGCCTCCTGGTGAGGGGGAATGTTGGAGAGACAGCTTTGATGCTGTGAAGCGCTGCTCAGCGCTGCTCAGCAGCAGCCAAAGCACTGGTGTGTTACCCACACCTTTCCAGCTACCAGTACACAGCACAGCACTGTGAGTGCTGCTGGGGGGGAAAACTAGCTCCATCCTGGGGAAAACTAGCTCCATCTCAGCCAGACCCAGTACATAGGGATATGACAGATGCCTCCATCCAAGATAAAACTTGTACTCTTGGCTCTAGTTTTGATATGCTGTGTGTGTGGTGCTGGACAGTAGACATGATTATTTTTTGTTTTAGAAAAAAAAAGCGGGTTTGTACTGCCTTGAACCGAAGGTAATGCAGTGCAGCTTATTCTTCTCCCATGACTTTGTTGCTTCAGGAACACAGTTCTCAAACTGCCTTAATGACTGCAGGTTCAGATTGACTTCATTCTTACCTAGGAGAATACTTTCTCATGAATGCGTGTTAGAAAGTCATTCTGTGTTTACAGACACAGTGGTAATTAACACAGTCCTTTGCTTCAGCTGGCTAACAGAAAATCCATGCTGGAGCAGGAGGAAGAGTGAACCAGGAAAACTGGGTATGTGCATGAATAAGCTGCTGTTTTGTAGCCAAGCTCAAGCCAAGACTGTCTGCTTTTAATACCAAAGTAATACTTTAAAGATGGATTTATTTTCTAAATTTTAGGGTTTGATACTTTGTTTCAAGTCACTAAAGACATCTAAAAAATCAGGGTGATTTTATAGGCTTCAGAGCTCCTTGAAAGCAGTTGGCAGCAAATAATCTGCCTCACCAGAAGTTATTTGGTAGTTCTCACTATCTGTACATGACACAGGAAATCGAATATGAAGGCTTCTGTCTGAATAGAATGCTCTTAGCGAGCAGGGAGGAAAGAGGAATGCGGCTTTGAATCAAAAAAAGTGTTCAGAGAAAAAACATCCTTTGAGTTCTTATAAATCTATTTCAGGAGCAGGCAGTTTCTATCAAAAGGTATAATTTGCTATGTATGAAAATCTTCAAAGTTTTAAACTTTGTTGGAGAGAGATAAGCAAAGTGGGCTAGCTGCACTCCAGAGTTTACTGATTTATGTCATGTTGCATCTCTGTGACACACCCAAGGCTTTGTACTAAATTCCAGTCCTGAGCAGAATCTTTGATGCTACTCGGCCAAGTGTTGTGCTCAAAAGTTCAGAGTTTTACAGGCTTGTTCTGACCTAGAATTTTCAGGATACTGTTCTAGACTAGTACTCGGTGTCACATTTTGTTTAAGGAGAAGACGTTTGGGGTATTGAAATCTCAACTCAAAGAACGCAAGCAGAAAGAAAGTTGATTCTGGGTTTTGGGGTTATTTTTTATTGGCAGCAGTGTATTACCTTGGTCTTTTATGCTCAGGGCTTGCACTTCATAAAAACTTAGACAAATCTAGGCTATAGAGCCAGCCAAACCCACAATTCTGACTGAGACCTACTTGGTTTTGCTGAATCATCACAAGCTCTGGGCAGTGAGTGAGCCAAGAGATGCTTTTCTCTTCAGTATTGTGTAAACACAAGATGTTTCCCTGGGCTAAATATTATAAAGTAAAAAAGACATGTTTATTTGATCTTTTTTTCTTTTTATGTCATGTGTTGTAGAAAAAATGATTAATACATAAAGCTACCATCTGGGGCCTCTGAAAATCTGAAAATCCTTTTCTTTTACGTTTTTATCAGCTCAGTCCTAAACATGAAGCAGTTCAGTATAACCTCATCATTTTGTTTCTATAAGTGATAATGATTTGGATTAAACTGCTGACAAGTCTTCATTTATTGTAGGGAAATCAGTTTTGGAAATTGCCGTTTCATTTAAAGTAAGAACAAAAAAAAAAAAAACACCACAGGACTTAATTCATAACTCTACCACAATGTGATTTGAACTCTTAAAATTCAAAGTGAAGGTTCAGTAGCTGACTTGTGCGTTTTCTGGGAAAACTTGGGTATGGATACATTGGTGTATGTAAGTATCGCATGAGGTTTTAATCATTAGCATACTATAAGTTCGTTGGCTGTGACAAGCACTGGAAAAGCTAATGAATTTTCTAGGCATCACATCCTTTTGCTTCTGGCAAGTCCTTTCATGTATCTTACATCTTTCCAGAAATGGCTCTTCATGGGGATTTAGTGGGAGGTTTTACCTCGCTGAGCTGTCAGACCCACAAACACTTGCTTAGTTGCTCTTTCTGCCCACCCCTGCTTCCTGCAGGTCTGGCTAAGCACCTGCAGCTGGGCAGGGAGTAGTCCCAGTCCCTTTGCTTTAGGTTTTCAGCTCTAGTGGTGGCTGCCACTGTGGAAATTCAACATGGATTGGTGGGCATCAGTCTGCCCACGGATTTATCCCTTCAGCAGCCCCTCACCATTCATGTGGTTGAAGTGGATGGCAGGTAGGAATATATAATAATATGTATATAATATATATGTACATGTAATAGAAATGCGAGCTGGAATATAACTTACTCCCTTTTTGACCCCATTTACTTTAGTATGATCAAATGCTTTTAGTTTGCAGCGATGCTTTGTCTTTCAAAATCTGCATCTATTGTCAGATTATGGAATTTGTTAACATAGCTCTTCAAGTTTGTTATTCTGCTGATATCTGTGATTAATTGTGGCTTCTTTTTTCCCATCTTATATTGTTTACAACTTTTAAGATGTAATACTGCTGAAAAAAAACAGTTGTCTGACATTAAGAATAGTGTTTCAGGATAATAAAAGTCCAGTGACTGGTACTGCTGCTTATGGTATTTACAAGACTGAATAATAGTTCTTCCTAGCAAAAAAGCTGTTGAATTATATTAATACAATATAGTAAGATAAAGTCTGACTGTGCTTTTAGTGCATGTTTAGTCATGATTCAGCGTGAAGGGCAAAGGCAGGGTGCAGTGTGTGCATATGTGCCTGTACATGCAGGAGGTGGTAGGAAATGGCTGCAGCATTCTTCTGTGGCACAGCAAAAGCAGAGCTCCTTCAAAAAGAGCTGTACAGGTGAGCAGTCTTTTGGCTTCTTTGTTTATCTCACTTTACAAAATAGATGATCCTCAGGGTAGAGAATTAAAAAAACAACAATCCACAACAAAAAACAACAAAGCCCTGATGAGGACATGCACAGATGCAGTACCAGCTCCACAGTAGAATTATAATCCTCCCTTCTGTCCCAAAATCAAAGACAAATGTTAAAGATATGAAAAAGGTGACTGGTGTTTATCTTTTTTTCCCCCTTTTGATAGTGCGGCTTCATGACAGCATATCAGAAGAAGGATTCCATTACTTAGTCTTTGACTTGTAAGTATGAATTTTGCATATATGTAGCATGTTGGGGATGTGGTACTCAAACTTTTAGATGTAAATACAAGTTCACAAGGTAAATGCGTGGTTCTGGTGCACTGAGTTGGACAAACATGTAAACAGAGCTGCAAGGACGTATTTGGTCATTGGCATGTGCAAGAACTGATTTGCGTCACACATTAAATTCCATATTAAATGAATATTAATTCCACATTAAAAACTTTGAATAAGCAGGGCCACTGTTGAAGTTGATTTTAGTATCAAATATAAGTATGTAAGTACATTTGCATGATATCTGCCAAAGCTAAGCAAACACAGGACTCAGAAAAAATAGTTTGCTGCAAGCCAGTTACCTGTAAAGGAACAAAAAAAAAAACCACCAACATGTGGAACAATAGTTTCTCTACAGAAAATTTCCACTGTGGGACTGAAAGGTAAGCCTGAGTTTCCTAGAGGGAAAGATTCTTTCAGTATATTATTCTCAATTCATGTCTTACCAGTAGAATGTTTCATTTTGACATCATTCAGACTATAAAATGCCTGGCATATTAGAAAGGAAGTTTGCTATTTACTTCCATTTTACTTCAGGACTCTGAGTCCTGTGAGTTGTTCACGTAGTGACTGTATATGTGGAACTTGTTTCTCCCAGATCAGGCTGTTCAGTGGAAGAAGGAATTATGACAACATGAACTGTGTGTCTCATACTCTCAACTTAAAAAAAGACACTGACATTCTTCATTATGGCTGGGACAAACGAACTTTTCTAGTCACCAGAAAAGTTACAGCTTTTAGTTCTGGGTATGGGCAAACATGAATGATTAGGGATTATTTTACAAAACTTCAGTTATTTGAATATAATTACCTATTTCAATTGCAAAGTTTTCCAGGCAGTTTATGATTTTGACAAACATGACCACCACTCCCCCAAGAGCTTTGTTAGATCCAACATGCTGGTTAAAATGAAAATATGTTCTTTCCCCTAGATATGTGGAACAGCTAATTTCTGAGCATACAAACTGAAATACTTTTATTCAGTGCAAGTAGGTTAGAACTTGGGTCTTCCACAATCAATTTTGTGCTCTCATGTCCAGGTTATGTTCTGGTTTATCTTCTCACTTAGTTTCTTTAAAGAAATTTGTGAAGAATTCTTCCAGGTTAGATTTCAGACTAGTAGTACAAAAATATTAAATAGCCTGTCTGCAGTGAAGGTGTTCAGGTTTCAGTGCTCAAATCCTAACAGGGCTCAGAAGGAACTTGTATCTGGCTTGTCTATATCCCAGGTAAGTGCTCTGACTATTGGCTTAGAAATGGCTTTAGAGCACAACACGCATACTTGTTCTCTGACATGCACTGGGGTTTTCTTCTGCTTGGGGGGGGGGGGGGGGGGGGTCGGTTGTTGTGGGGTTTTTAGTTGTTTTGTTTTGTTTTTTAAGAGGAAATCTTTCTATGTGGATGTCGTGGTTTAACCCCAGACAGACAGCTTGTCCACTCACTCCCCCACCTTCTTCTTGCCCTTCCCCTGCTCCTGGAGGGACAGAGAGGAGAATCAGAAAGAATGCAACTCCCATGGGTTGAGATAAGAACAGTCCAGTAACTAAGGTATAACACAAATCACTACTGCTACCACCAGTAATAGTAATGATAAAGGAAATAACAAGGGAAGAGAATACAACACCTCATCACCAGGCGACCGATAACTTGCCCCCCCAGCCTGATCAAGCACTGACTGATACCTCCTCCAACCCTGCAGTCCACCCTAGCCCCTTCCGGGTCACTCCCTAGTTACACCCAGGGCATGACGTGCTGTGGTATGGAATACTTCTTTGGTCAGTTTGGGTCAGGTGTCCTGTCTCTGCTTCCTCCCAGCTTCCCCTCCTCCCTGGCAGAGCATGAGGCTCACAAAGTCCTTGGCCAAACCAAAACACCATTTTTATCAGCTTTGTTCCCAGCCCAAAAGTCAAAACACAGCACTGAACCAGCTACCAAGAAAGAGAAAAATGACTGCTACTGCTAAACCCAGGGCATTATCCACCCCTTATTCCATACCATTCACGTCATGCTCAGATCCCACATTTTCAATATACCATCACTCTTATCTAAGTGCACTCTCATCGTAGTACATGGGCCAGTCCCTATAAAGCTGCTGAGTCCATCTGGTCCATGATGCCAGGCTCCATCTCTTGTAACAGTCTTTCGGAGCACAAGAGGCTATGTGCAGTGTTCACACTTGTGAATAACCTGGGCAACAGTGTCCATTGCTAAGTCCACCCCTCGATCATGAGTCCATCTCTATGTTGCATCTCTGCTCTGTTGGCCTTAAGGATCATGGGCCCACCAGGCTCAAAATAATTCACTGTCCCCTTCAGCAGTTTCTGCAGTTTGTTGCTGGGGACTCCATAGGGGTGCCTTCCATCTCCAATGTTTCCAAAGCTCTGGAGGGGCCCAGTGGACTAGATACCTGCCTATACTGTTCCACACACCCTGCCACTCATGGCTGTCCAACCTTGGGGGAAGTCTCTTGGTCCTCCATATCATCATCTAACTCCAGACAAGACCCAAACCCGACTCTGCTTAACTTTTGAGATCAGACAAAATGGTGGTGGGTAAAACACAGTCTGTGTGTGTGCCAACATGCTGATCCCCATCACAATCAGCAGGCAGGTCCCAAGGATACCCAAAGGCCATCCAAAACCTTCAGAACTCTCAAGCGATGCTGCTGTACTTGTCACTGGGGCTGGTGTAGCTGCTGTGCTTGCCGGCTCTCCCACCACCAGCTTCTCTTTTCCTGAGTCCAGATCTTCCTCCTCTGCCTTGCTGGGAAATGCTGTGGGGCCTCCTGTGTCCTCCTGGGGCTTGGCGGGCGGCTTCCGGGGAATGCTCTCGGCCGTCGCAGGGATGAGCTCGGCCGCGGGGCTTGGCTCCTCTGCGGGGCTCGGCTCCTCCGCCGCCTTCTCCTGCTGCTTGGCAGCCGCCTCCTCCCACTCCTCGACCACCCCGATCTCCTCCACCGGCAGCCGTCCCCTTGCGGCCTCTGGTCCCGCTCCAGCTTGGTCCCCGGGGCCGCTCTCCCGGGCCGCTTCAGCAGCCGCCGGCTCCCGGGGCCCCACCCCCTTGGCTTCTCCGTCACACAGACGGAGGCAAGGGCGAGGGCCAGGACGGTGAGGAGCAGCCGGACGGCCAGGGACCAGTCCACGGCCACGTCCGTTCTGCCCTGCTGCTGGAGCCCGCCCATATTACAAGTCATTGCCATAAAGTACAGTGAGAGAGGAATCTTAGCCCAAGCCCCACACTTGATAAACACTAACACAGCAAATACCGGCTCTGAGTAAGTTACAACATTCTGAAGCTGTGAGATCAAGAGGAACAACTCTGAGAGCCAATAAATCAGCATTGTGACAAGTGTTTATTAATCCGGTCAGATCTGTCGTTATCTCAACCCCTTTGAGCCCCATGTTGGGCACCAAAAAGAACTGTTGTGGTTTAACCCCAGCCAGACAGCTTGTCCACTCACTCCCCCCCCTTCTTGCCCTCCCCCTATTCCCGGAGGGACAGAGAGGAGAATCAAAAAGAATGCAACTCCCACGGGTTGAGATAAGAACAGTTTAGTAACTAAGGTATGACACAAATCACTACTGCTACCACCAATAATAGTGACGATGAAGGAAATAACAAGGGAAGAGAATACAACACCTCATCACCAGGCGACTGATAACTTGCCCCCCCAGCCCGACCAAGCACTGACTGATACCTCCTCCAACCCTGCAGTCCACCCTAGCCCCTTCCGGGTCACTCCCCAGTTACCTCCTGGGCATGACGTGCTGTGGTATGGAATACCTCTTTGGTCAGTTTGGGTCAGGTGTCCTGTCTCTGCTTCCTCCCAGCTTCCCCTTCCTCCCTGGCAGAGCATGAGGCTAACAAAGTCCTTGGCCAAACCAAAACATCATTTTTATCAGCTTTGTTCCCAGCCTGAAAGTCAAAATGCAGCACTGCACCAGCTACCAAGAAAGAGAAAAATGACTGCCACTGCTAAACCCAGGACAGTGGAATTGGAAAAATCTTCTTAATCCTGAACCTTTCCAAGAAGTGCATGCAGAATTCTTGGTTCTAAGGACAATATCACTAGTGTGGCATTTTTATTTTTTTGTTGTGCTGTTGTACTTTTAGAAGCTATAGCCTACTGTAATTGCAGTGAGTCAACTTCTGCATTAAATTTCATATATCGTCCCAGGCATATCTCAGGAGATTATGACTGCAGTGTGAACTAGAAGGCATTTGAACAGCTACGGAGTTGTAGTTACCAGTACCTATATCTCAGTAGTAACAGAACAAATACAAGCCTGTATTCCGCAATAAAAATCAACACCTAACCAGAAAATACAGCCTTGGCAGAAAACTAGATTCTGCAAGAAACATTCTGCACTGGCTGAAGCTTTTCCCTGTCAGTCCTCTTCAGGACAAACATAGGAACAGACTTACACATGTGCTGTTGATCAAGAGCAGCATGAGTTTGTGTTTCATCCTCTTCAAAGAAAGAGGGCTTCAACACACACACACACACAAACACACACACACATTTGCAGCTTATTATGTTTAGATCATTTGGTTTTGGGGATTTTTTTGTCAAAATAAATTACTTTGCAAAAAAAAGAGACCATCTAAATAGCAGAGGCAATGACTGTACCTACTGATCATTGTCTTTGGAAAAACAACATCTTACATTTGTAAAGAACATTTGCCTCATTAGTAAGGATGTTTGCTCAGTTATTTTTTCATTCAGACTAAGAAATTACAGCTTTAATGCTCACTAATTCCATTTTTTTTAGTGAAACTTCATCTTCACTGCAGTTACAAATATATGGTTTGTTTAAATGTACATAAATGAGCGGCCACAAAAAAAGGTACCATATCTGCTTCTTTAATTTGAAGGCCAAGTACATACTTTCATTTATTTATTTATTTATTTTCTATTTGACAGGAGCCTGACTGTGGTGTAACAC